AGCTCCTGTTTTGGCTGTTTGAGTGTCTTGTGTCCCCATGAGGACTCGACCGCACGTGCTTCCAGAGAAAAAAGTTTATCTCTTGCTTCAGCAGCATGTATCGGGTCGCTGTACCCGCTGCTTCTACCGCGTCGCACATGCTATTCCTCGCACAAACGTGCAAAACCATTGACACGGCATTGAAACACTTTCTATTGATCCATGGTGGAGTCATAAACTGTTGCGGTTGTTTGTTTTTTTGCATTTCACAGAATGTTTTGCGGTTCATGCTCGACTGGATAGTTTGAGAAGCCTCTGGCTATGTCCCCCAGAATGCCGCTTCAGACTCGGCTTTACTTCCTGTGTTTTCTATAGCTTAGCGTACATTGGACTGGCAACTGATTATATCCGTCGCATATGAGTTGCTGCCCCGCACACATCGACAATCTGACGAAAACGGGCAACTCCCAGTAGCAGACCACTCTCGGGAATAACAGCGCGTACATCGACAGCAACTGGCCTCAACTACAGTGTGTTTTCTGACATAAACTGTTGCGGGCTCGCAACACACGCAATACACACACGTTGTCGGAGCGGCGCATGGAGCGCGCACATCGGGTCATATCTCCGAAACTGAGGACAACTAGTTGCCGAAAAGTAGAACACGGGCAACTGACTGAAACTGGAGACCGACTGTTCATCTCCATTTGTAAGAGCGCGCACATCGACCGATTTCGGCAACTGATCATCTCCCACCATCTCCTCTCAGTTGCCAAAAGCCGCCTTGCAACTAGTTGTCCCCAGTTTCTATGTTGATGTACGCTAGGCTTAACGGAGTGAAGCTAAACTATCAAACATTCTTTCGACCCCATTTTCTCATGATATCGAACACATGTCTATCACGATATATATTGTTATCGTTTTATCGCCCAGCCCTAATAGTAAGTAATACTTTTAAATCTTCATACAGAAAACTTGGGCCCACTTGCACAGTATAACCCTGGCATTTGCCATCCGTACATTTCGGTCAATAAAAATGTTCCTGCATGTACTGTCTGGGTCTACTCCCTGTGTTTGCAATTACATCGGTTGAATCCCAGCCAACCAATCAGCGAGCGCGGGAGGCGGGTGTTGTAGTTAGATGTTAGACGTCAAGAGTTTGCGCAGAACGGGCAGGTCGTAGTTTGGAAATGGAGAATGCGACAGGAAAGTAATCTGCTCTGGTTCTATCAAGAGATTGAAGCCGGAGCAAGAGGAATGTTTAGCATATGTAATGCTGGCAAAGATAGTGGCAAAGATAGGAGATGGCTAGGGCAACTCACTCAGGCGCAATACATACGTCACGGTAAACTCAGATCCAATCGTTTCAATCTGCAAAAGGAGTTAACTCCTCCCACCTATTAACAGAGCTCAATGGAGCAAATCCATACCTTAGTACAAAATGTATTTTGTACTATGGTGGTATGACCAGGCTAGCAGCACTGATTTATTTATTTTCTTATATCAATTGCCATACTGGTCAATTTTTCTTAAAGTTTACCATTTCTACTCACTTTGGAGTAACAGGGTAACAAGTCGACTTTCAAATATACCACAAACAAAGGAACAACAAAGAATAAAATAAAGAGGAAACCGAACTGGACAGAGGAACAGTGTTTGCTTCTGGCTCAATTGGTCAATGATTATAAAAGTGTTTTGAGAGGTAAATTTGGTCCCACTGTCATCCAGTGTTTGGAGAATATCAATTAGGGATCGCTTAAGTCGCTAAAAGTCCTCCTCTCTACTCTAAAGAGATCTCACTCTTAGGAGCTAGGATTCTTTGGGAATAGCTGTTTTTCTTAACTAGGATCTACTCTTCACCTTTAGGGGAAATTCTAAGAGTGCGACAAGATTAGAATATTCTTAGAATTTAGACACTAGGAGACACTCTTAGCACTAACTATCATTAGATTCAGATTCAGTTTAGAATCAGAATCAGAATCATTTTTATTGCCACGTAAGTAACAGGAGGTCACAGACTAGGAAATTGCTTTGGCTCAGTGCCAAAGTTATTTGCCATTTGCAGTAAAAAAAACACATTGGAATACATTAGCAAAAGTCTCCAGTGTGCACAGACAAATACAGACATAAAACAACATTAAAAGAAAAAAATAAAACAAATAAAACAGTAAACAAATGTCACTGTGAAATCGATCGACTAAAACAGTTTCAAAACAAGTGCAAATCATTAAAGTGCTCTGTTCACAGTGATAACAGCTTGTGGATAAAAACTGTTAGCGTAAGGAGATGTCTTGCATCTCAGAGAGCGATATCTTCTGCCAGAGGGAAGAAGCTGGAACATGGCTTTCCCAGGGTGACCAGAAGAGTCATTGACAATCCTAAGAGCTTTGTTTAAAAGTCTGGATTTATAAAGAACCTCCAGAACAGGAAGCTCACAGCCCACGGTCCTCTTTGCAGAGCGGAGCACCTTGTTTAAAGCTCTCTTTTCTTTATCTGTGATGTTTCCAAACCACACAGACACAGAACCAACAAGTAAACTCTCAATGGTGCAGCGATAAAAGTTAAGCAGAATCTTAGAGTTAGTGGTAAATTCTCCAAGTTTACGCAGAAAGTAGAGACGCTGACGAGCTTTCTTAACGACTCGGTCAGTGTTTTTAACCCATTTCAGGTCGTTAGACAGAGTTAAACCCAGAAACTTGCACTCCTCTACGATCTGCACCTGGGAGTTGTCGATTACGACAGGCAAATGAGAACTATTACGACTGAAGTTGTAGACCAGTTCACATGTTTTGGATGCATTCAACTGGAGGTTGTTAGTTTTACTCCACTGAACCACATTTTGTATCTCTGCTCTATAAGAGGATTCATCATTGTCACTGATGAGACCGATGATGGTGGTGTCATCAGCATATTTGATGATCAAGTTTGAGTCAGAGGAGGACACACAATCGTGAGTGTACAAAGTAAAAAGCAAAGGACTCAAAATACATCCCTGAGGAGAACCAGTGCTCACAGAAACAACATCAGAAAAACAGTCATTGATTTTCACTCTCTGAGATCTGTCAGTTAAAAAGCTAAAAATCCATTTGCACATGGCAACACTTAAACCGAGAGATTAGGAATACGGCCCCTGGTCTTTATAGCAAAGATCAATGTAATGTGTTCTATATTCCAGTGAAATCCAAAAAAGAAAAGAAAGAAAATTGGGAGTCACTTCAGATTTTATTCTAAGTTCAATTTGGAGCAGAGGACGCTGTCCCCATATGTTTGGGAAATGTTCGAAATTGCCTTATGCCAAAACTTATTCTCATTAATATTGTACACAGTATAGTGTATGTGTGTGTATGAATTATATATTTCTGGATTCTTAGACACTTCACATAGAGACACATGGATTATTTGTTTAACAAAACAGTGTGTGCCATCAGTGTGTGCCATCAGCCCCTCTGACCACCACCAATCACCACATGCAAATCTGAATGAAGTCTATGGACAGTGACAGTTTACAGCTGCTGCACATGGTTTCCCTAGTGGTCCCCCATCACAGAACTAATCAGGCCCTATTCTGCTTGGCTTCTGAGGTCTGACGAGAAATACTATGACTTCATCATTATGAGTGGTGATCTGTGTTGGATAGAGCTTTGACACAAACTTTTAAGCAATGAAAGGTTTACAGCGAGCTGTAATGTTTGTGTGAAATGTTCCAGAGAAAGTTAGATATGTAAAACCAGCATCACTGCTTTGTTTGAGTGCACATAGGTCAAATTCAACATGTGGTGCGTTCCAGGTAATTGGGAATTGCTCTACCTGTGAAGTGCTGATTTATGATAATAATCTATGAGTGTCTTGGATTACCACATTTTGTGTGTTATGTCTCCTTTAAATGTAAATGAGAGATGTTATGCCCAAAAGAATGGCGCCGTGGCAAGAGCTCTGGTGTGTGCCGTCTTCTATGTCTGGTGCACACTGGGATAGTCTTGCACAGTTTTTCCAATGTGGTTTTACTGCAAATGGCAAATAAATGAATCTGAATCTGAATGTTTCAGTTTGGTCCAGGACCATAGATTGTAATTTAAAGGTTTCACTGCTAGACACAGTGGCTGAGTGGATAGCACTCTCGCTTCTCAGCAAGAAGGTCCTGGTTTCGAATCCCGGTCGGAACAGGGTCTTTCTGAGTGGAGATTGTACGTTTTCCCCGTGCCTGGGTAGGTTTCCTCCCGGTGCTCCGGTTTCCCCTACCACTAAAAACATATACAATAGGTCTGGCGTCTCCTGTACTAGCGACCCTTCTTCCTTCTCTGTGTGGAGTGAGAGACAAATACCCACAGCAATTGTAGAGCGCTTTGTGAACGCACTAAAGAACCTCAGGTGACACTAAGACCAAACAAAGTCCTGTTAACAACATAAACTAGCACTCCCTTATAACTTAATATGGAATCTTCCTCTTCACCTGCATATACTTTCATATGGAGACAAAATGAGAAAGACCAAAGACTTTAGGAAAATGGGCCTATGTACGCACTGGTTAAACGATAGTTCACTTTTACAGTAATTTAGAAGCATTTGTGATCAGAAGCAAACATGTCGCTAAAGTTACAGATTTGAATGTGTGCCTGATTTTTAATCGAGTTGTCCATATTGAACATGACTACATCTACACACAAAGCTACACCTGTGACTGGTGCCATGTGCTAAGCTAGCTCCAACAATAACAGGTTCGTGTAAACTAGCTTGGGACAAAAGATTAATCCTGGTTAATCACGCTTTCCACGCGGGTCGGTGGTTCCACACATGCCCGCAAGGCCTCGGTTCAGGTCCAGGACTGGACCAGGCCTCAGGCCTCAGACCCAGACCCTAATCACCAACAGACGGCCCCTCACTGCACCTCCGGTTTTACCTTCCTCTGGGTCGAACAAAGCGCGCGTACAGACGGGGCGACATGGCGGTTCCGGGCCTGTTCCGTCTAAATCCTTGCGCACATCGTGTCTCTCTGCGCGTTTGTCGCAAATGGAGAAAAGTGCATGCGGCCGAATGGTGCCTTGATACGTGACGTCAACGCCCTGCAGTTTCTTCCCCCCCTTTCTCCTGCGTCGCTTCCTTCGCCGCCATTTTGTCTACGCCACCTGGGTTCAAACCGGCGCAGAGAAGCGTCTGTGCGCGGGGAGAGACGAAGCATCGAGGGCCTGGGGCACCGGAGAACAACCAGGGACAAGATTCACGCTCAGACCCGGGGAAATGCTGCGCTGCGCGGGGGGAGTGGGGGCCGGGACACATGGGGCTCTGTGGCCGCTCACTCAGACCTCACACTCGGATCTATCTTCTGCCTTTCCCTCTCTACACTGGACCGGGGCTGGTGCTTGGTTTATGGCGGTGATTGTAGATTGAATTATAGTTACTATGCCTCCGTTTCTAGATTTAAACTCAAATAAACATGGGATTGTTTAGTTTAATCGCGTCCGTATGATTTGTGTGCGTCATTGGATAGTGTTGGGTTTTTGGAGCAGGCACAGTCGCCATATTGGACCGGGGTGCATCGCTGCCTCTGTATTCAGACCTCAGCGCTTGTGTGTGGGATAGAGGAGGAGACACTGCGGAGGAGCCTCACTGGACCTCACACACTGGGAGAATGCCTACGCTCTGGGAAATATCGTTTTATGTAAATATGTAATCCAATCGGTGGAGCAGACAAAGAAAGAAGAGCGTGGGAGCCTGCGTAGTGGATAAAGATTCTTGTAACTCAGGAATTACGCGAGTTCGTAACATCTAACAGTGTCGTCGCTTATGGAAGTTACTTCAATGTCCAAGCCGAATCCAGCCACGCTCTTTGGCTCTGGCGCTCTCTGCATGAATTATTTAAACGCAGACAAGCCTTGATTAGCGTGGCGCAAGCGTGTTTGCAGATGCACGCCAGTTCTGTTCTAATATTAGCTGTCTGTGGTTCAGTTTCGGTGCGTGGGCAGATGTTTGGACTCACAGATGCAGGTTTGGAGAACAAAGATTCCAATGGCCAATAGCCTAAAGGCCAAACGAATAAAATGTGTCTTAAAGAAGATATATTATGTTTAACCATTACAACAAAACAATAGTATTTACTTTGTGATTTCAGGTTTTAGAACCTGAAATAATATATTCAGCAGGAAATATATGGTGAAACTAATATGAAGAGTAAGCAATCTCTTCAGCCTGTAACTCTTTGTACTGCCACCAGGGGGGAAGCGTTGTTTTTTTTTTTTATTACAGTATCAAACAGCCTTATGGTTGTAAAGAACATTATTTTACTTAAATGACCAATACTTTTGTTGTAACACTGAAAGCAAGTGTGATGTCATACTGGTAAAATGACATAATACTGTTACAGGACTGAGAAAGGAGCTTTTTTGACCGAAGGGGTGGAGCTACATGTTTGTACCAGTTTCTGATATTAGCGTGGATGGTGCTGAAACCAACTCCTGATCTGTGACTGAGGAAGAACTCTGTTGTAACGAGGTTAGAAGCTCAGTGTTCTTGATTTTTGGCCTAATATGAAGCTTTTTGTCCTCGCTCCAGATTTGTTACTATAGCTTCAATATTTTTTTGCATAACTGCCACCAGCCTAACTCAGTAAGTATGAAACCAGCCAAGGTCTTTCTCCAAAACCAGGAAAACTAAAATACATTGATCTACATAGAAATATTTAGATCTAGATTTATTTTATAATTACTCTGATGATTCTGCATTCAGTCCACTTAGGGCTGCATTACACTTATCTTCTAGAAAGTAAGTAATGTTTATTTATATTATTTGTGGGCATTTGTCTCACTCCACACAGGGGCCGGGTCACCTATGGGGCGGGTCACACATATGCCAGACCTTTTGTACATTACAGTGGTAATGTACATACAGTGGTTGAAACTGGAGGAAGCCTTTGCAGATACAAGTAGAAAATGCAAACTCCATCACTCTGGACTTTCTTGCAGTGAAGTGGTGACATGTTAACCACTGCTGTGCTGTGAGTGGACCAGCTCTTTGAATGGGGACTGTTCATGGACTGGTTTGTGACAAGGCTTTGAAAACAACATGCTACATATGAATTCGATCAACAATTTCCATCTCCTTTATGAGCCCCTGATCCTCCTGCAGGTGGTGGCTTCTCCGCCTTAGATGCCTTAGTCTTTTAGCTGGGGCTTCAGGCCAAGTGGGGATGAGCTTCTCCCCCAGCGACACAAGAAGTAGAAAGTAGAGTTATTGTTGTATATTGTACGATTTATATCAATTGAAAAATCCCCACTGTGGGAACAATAGAAGTTCTATTATCTTAAAAAAAACACTTTACACTTCAGATCAATTGCTTATGTGTGACCATTTAAACAATAATTATTGATGTTTAGAGCCCAGAACGTTATCTAAATTACTAGTTGAATGGAATCTCAGTAATGGATTAGTTGCCCATACACAAACACGTAAAACCCATTGCTATCGCCGGCTTTACAAACATGTTTTCATCAGTTTTGGATTTTAAGAAGTTTTTCAAGATGATAGTGTGGTATTTTACACAGTAGCAATTGTGATGACGACAGAAACTCTTTGTAATAGCAAACCTAATAATACACATACATAACACACTGCATTCTAACCCAGTGTATACTTGGTTCTGTCCTGTGTATTAAAGAATTTTACTCCCAGGTTCTTTTCCAGGTCAGTCTTCATGAGCTCAGCGTTTTCTGGAGAAACTGCAGCGTAAACACAAGGTAAACAATAGTTCTATACTCGACTGATGCGATTCTCACATGTTCTTACTGCAGAGATCCAGGTTCAAGTGTCTCTGAACTTCCTGCTCAGTGTTTAGAACCAGGCCCCTTCCACTCCTCACTGAATACAATTGAGAATTTCAGATTTTTCCTCCAAACATATGACAACATGTCTTGTTTTCCTGGGTTGATGTCACAGCATAGATCAATGCAGAGTTGCCAAAAGTAAAATGTATAATGATTCAGTTCAAATTATTTGTGTATAGCCTGAAATCATAGCAGCAGTTGTCTCAAGAGGACATTATAAAGTTGTTGATTCATCAATAACAGACCAGACAACACAAGAAATGCATTGATAACAGACACATAGGAACCCATCGTCACTGTCCACAGACCCTCCAGCATCAGAGACAAAAAACACAATAAGTAGCTTAAATACATTTATAAATTCCATATTCTTCTGTTTAATCTGATCATAGCTGTCCAATAGACGTGTAAGTAAGTCATCTTCACATAGCACATTTCACACCAAGGCATAAAGCTGGCTGAATTTAATTCTATATTTTCTATACCATTGAATATTGAATCATCTTGTGATAAATATACTTTTTTCCAAATAGTACAGCAAAGTCAAAGTGGTCATTATATTGATATGTATTTAGTCGAGACAACATTAATTTGAATAGCACAGTTCATACACAAGGGAACTCAAAATGCTGAACAAAACAAACAACAATCATTATAATTACAGTGCATTAAAAAGGGTAAGATACAATCCTTCAGCTGTAGAAGAAACTGTTTTAACCTGTATTTGTACATTGTGAGAAGAAGCCTTACTTGTTCCTCTACAGGACTGATGCAGAGAGCCTCAATCTGTTGGCTTCCTGCTCACATTCACAATAATTTTAAAGCCTACAAGAGCCTTTCACCATTTATAGCTTTGGCCTTTGTGCTCTGATGCAGTCTGAGTCTGAATCAAATGAAGTTAAAACATTTATTGATGTTTTCCCACCAGTATTGAGAGTGCGACTCTTGAGAAAAATGGTTGGAACTCCAAATGTGTTACAGCCTTTCTCTTATTCACTGATAATAATAAAGGCTTAGTTCACATAAGAGAACCTTTATCCATCCCAGAGTGAAGAAATGTTAGTGTTGCAGCGCACATACAGGACAGAGCACAAAACACGGAGAGGTAGCTATATATAATAAAGCATTGGTTTTATACATCACTTTTTTGGAGACTCATCACATGTCATGATTCATTCACTCCATACACAGTGGTGATAAACTACTACTGTAGCCACAGCTGCCCTGGGGCACACTGACAGATGTAAGGAAACCAGTGTGTGCCATCGGCCCCTCCCACCACCACCTACCATTCACACACACACACCAGACTCATTCTAATGTGGGTAATGTGTCTTGCCTAAGGACACAATGATAGTTTGATACTTTAAAGCCGCGGCTGCCCCACTGTGACACTTTGTGTTCCCATAGGTCCCCCATCACATTTAACCAAGTCCTCCCCTGCTTAGCTTCAAAGATGCTTCATAATAAGAGAAACAAGTGCATATACATCAATATATGTCTTGATCGATACATACAAATTATAGTATCTAGTAAAAAAAGTGACGTTTAGAAATTGTGATTCAGGGAGATATACAATTATTGTATACCACACTTTGCATGTTCTCCCTGCGTCTGCTCCAGTTTCCCCTACCACTAGATACATAAGGTCTGAATGTAATGAGTAAGTGAAGGCTGTTGGTCGGAGGCTTCTGTTAGTATGTGTGGAATGAATGGAAATTACCAGAACATATGCGCTATATAAATAAAACATATTCACATAATCTTCTGTTGTTGGCTGATTTCATCATAACAATCCTTATGTAAAATCCGTATGTAAAACTGCATATGTTTCTTTCAGAAAACCCCAGAGACCTTCAGTAACTTTTAATGCAGTCATAGAACAGTAGTATTGTGACTCAGATTCAGTTTATTTTCCTTTTGCAGATTGGACAATTGTGGAAAATATTACACAATATTGAATACAGTAAGATATGATACAGTTGTTTAGTGCTAATTGTTTTTTTTTTCTTACTTTTTTTTACTCTAAGATGTTGCTACAGTACTGTGTTTATGAATATGCACTGTTCCAGACCGCAGTGGAGAGGGTTCAAAGTCCAAAACAGGCAAAAATCCACTGAAAGAATGCAAACGTTTTGAAAAATAGATTAAAACAAAGCATTCCTTATCTGACTTTAGACTCGAGCTGAGAAAATGGTCCGAACCAAGCAGCTACTCCATGTTTGCTGCTGTGACCTATGTATCATCCTGTGGAAAGAATATGAAATGTTCTTAGCTGTAGTAATTTCTTAGGTTTTTTGCAGCTTTAGGTGCTGTTGAGAACGCTGCAACAGTATTAGTTTTACTGTTGCAACGTATCAGATAGGCCTTTCGTTTACATGAAGACAGTGTTTTAGGGGGTTGTAAACGCTAGCGTTGAGAAACAGCCTCCAGAGTGGAACAGAACAGATATGCTGCGCAGCGTTGGTGCTATTTCACAGCAGTGTGTGAATTCTCTGCCTACAACAACCTCCACTTCCTTGCACGCACTTTTGGATACGCAGTAGCCGGGAACAAACGTAAACAACCCTGTCGACTGTGGACTAATGCTATGTATGCTTCGAGCGCTACATAAAGGAGAATTCTACTTCTTTGTTGGTCCAAACAAAACCATGCAAAGCTGTACTTTTGGTATCCATTTCCTCTGCTATTGTGATATAAAACGCAGAATGATGTTGATGCATTTCTTTTCCACACATTCTTTCACGCCTTTGCCGTGTCCTGTGGAGGATGTTATTTAGGAAGCAGGGCTGTACTGGCCATCGGGCGTACCGGGTAATGCCTGAAGGGCCGATGCCCATATTTGGGCCGGCTTGTCTGCCTCATACAAAAAACGTGTTTGTGAAAAGTGTAAATCCGTTGAGAAATGTTCGAGGGGGGCGTGCGTGTCTGCGGGACACCTGCTGTATGTACTTAAACGGGATTCCGCCACCTCAGCGGCCGTAGTGTTCCGGGGCAGCTGCGACCGCTTTGAAATGACCAGTTCCGCGTCAAGCGACTGTGAGCGTCCAGCCGCTCACGGCCGCTTCACTGTGTTGTGAGCGCGCAGCGGCAACGTGACCATGTACCCAAGACCATAAACGCATTCTCTGCTTCTTGTGTGCGCGTCTTTGTGTAATCTGTGCACCCAATAAATACACCACTGCAGGAAACAGTCCACGTCTCCCCTCTCCTCTCCGCCGAAATTATTGCTCGGGAACCTACATTTTCCATTGCATTAAAAGTTCATGTTGGTTGTGCCTAAAAGTAACATGTTGTGAACAAATCAAACACATTTAGAGCCTGCCAATGACTGTCATTATGCATTCCAGACTTTTTTGACCAATTCTCATCCATGTAACAAACAACAGTGTTGGTCTGTGTCCACCTGCCTCACTCTGAGACATGTTTATTACCCTCTTGTAATGAAGACTATTGCACTTTATTTTATTGTTGAAACTGCAGACATCCTGATCCTCTACAGCAGACCTGGGCAACGATTAGCGGTCTGAGGGCCACATCCGGCCCAATTCACATTTCTTTGCGGCCCTTGAACCCTTCCCAGCTTATCCAAACCTTTGTCAGTTCAAAGTCAGAACAATGCAACAAAATGCCATTTGGAATCTAACCAGAGGTGACAATTATTTTCACATAACACATATGTATTTGTTTTACATATAAATTAAATTCAGCAGATTTTTGCTAAATTAAATTAAAGATTAACAAATGAAATTGGGTCCGGTCCGGCCCTCCACAACAGGGCAATACCCCAATGTGGCCCCCTGAAGAAAATACTTGCCCACCCTTGCTCTACAGCATGCGGAAGCAAAAAACGTGAAAAAAAACCCCATGGCTGGGCCGTCAAGTAGGCAAAAATGCCTGGGCCGTTTTTTGGTCCCAGTCCAGCCCTGTTACAGTTGGGGGTCGTGTGTGTCGTGTTGTAAAGTCCCACGGTCCACTACTGGCCGGGCACTAGAACTACATGGTACTTCGTCGTCATGTAAATGCTGTGCACTTTAAATAAGGAGCCCGGCCGTTTTTGCGAATTGCTTTGCTGCTTCTCCGCTGCGTCTTCCATCTAAACGGGACCTTGAATCCTGCGTTTGTCTCTGTGTTCCGTATGATCTTATCTAATTGTAATAGACTGAAAAAACTATGATAACCTGCCTGAACAATGGTCATTGCTCCCTATGGACGGCTGTGTTATCATTTCATTTCCTGAGTTTGAACTGTTTGATTCTCTGATCTGTTCTGCAGGAAGTCCTCTGAGACGACTGCTGTTGTGATTAACAACTATGCCGAATTAAGTTAATTTGAATATTTGAAAAGTGTGGTGTTATCCAGTCCAGTGTAGTTGCTTGACCAAAGAATAAGATAAAGATGAAGAGATCCTTTATTAGTCCCACAGTAATGTCAGTGTTGCATCACAGAACAGTTACAGAACAGTGGGAATTAGAAGCACACAGCACAAGATAAATGAACAATAACTCTACACTAAAAATGAAATAAAACCCTCTAACTTTAGCATAATAAAGAAGCAAATGCACAGTCTCTAATGTCTCTAACATTAGCGTAATAAAGAGGCAAGTATAACATTGTGTATTCTAGTGCAGACATATAGTTGTATGTATACATCTGTACATTAGCAGCCTCAGGCTCTGTGACTCAGTGACACATGTGGTTCTATATTGCACATTCTGACATTATTAAGATTATTTAATGCACAAATGGTGGGACATGTGAAGTGGTCCTCTGGTGAAGCTGCACAGACGGGACACAGGCCCAGTGTCCTCTGGTCATTCAGATGCAGCTCAGAGGCTTCAGCACAGACATCATGAAAGCACAGCTGGTGCAGGAGGCTCTGCTCCTCCTGATCTGTGCCACCAACCTCAGATATGTACAATCTAAATACAGATATGGTATATAAATATAGATCATTTTGAAAATGTTTACTAAACAAACATGTGACCTTTTATTTGGAGACACAAAAGTAATTAAAAATGAAAATATTTAGGTAACTCTTAATAACTCTCACAAATTGATAGCTAAGGTGATGATTAGTGTACTCTAACCCACATGGGAAAGAGTCGCTTAGTGGCTAGTTAGATGTTGAATAGAAAGATGAATGGTTAGATGTCATGTTGAATAAGGACTAATTTAGTAAATTGCAATTCCGAGCTAAGGGCCTAATCTTGTTACCAAGATGTTGGCTAATTTTAGTAACTTAGCCACACATAAAAGATGCACATGTGATTTTAAATGACTACATAGCAATTCAGTCTACACGGTCCCTTCTATGCAGCTTTTTTCCCACGGTCGTCTCAGTGGCGGCGCCTTGTGGACACTGTAGTGAACACTGAGATAGTACAAATGCACAAAGTGCAGCAGGAGTCGCTGTCAGGCCTGTTGTGAATGATTAGGGATTTCTCTCCACAGCTGGGGTTTCTAACTTTTGCATGCTTGGAATATAGTATAAACCAATAACACAATCTATAATGACCAATACAAATATAGAAGCTATGTGCATTAGCAGATTTAGGTCTGTTAGTAGTCTATTGGGCGACAGTAGCTCAGTTGGTAGAGCATTGGCCTGTGAGCCAGAGGGTCGTGGGTTCGAGCCAGACTTTCACCATCGACTTTTGCTGTCGTTGTGTCCTTGGCAAGACACTTAACCTCTGGGAACACCAGCCACAGTGGGGCGGCTGTAAAGTGCCAAACTGCTGTTGTGTCCTTAGGCAAGACACTTTACCCCCATTGCCTAGAATGAGTCTGGTGTGTGAATGGTTGGTGGTGGTCGGAGGGACTGATGGCACATACTGGCTGCCTCGCTTCTGTCAGTGTTCCCCAGGGCAGCTGTGGCTACAGTAGTAGTTTATCACCACCGTGTATGGAGTGAAAGAATAATGACATGTAAAGTGTCTTTGAGTGTCCAAAAAAGCGCTGTATAAAACTGATGCATTATAGACTGTCAGCTGGTCTCAGGATTCCCCCATGAGTTGGAGGAAGTGTGTGTGGAGAGGGAAGTCTGGGCACCTCTGCTCAGACCGCTGCCCCCAATAACCGGCAATGTGCTCAGATTAAGATACATTTTGCCAAATTTGACTTATTTTTCATCATTTCATACCTGTATTAGTGTTAAGATATGCGAAATTGTGTTCTGCAGGTTTGAAATAAATCAAATGAACTAACCTTTTTGCAGTGCACTGTGTAATGCACCACAACATGAATCAAGGTTCTTTTACATAATTTAAAGCTAAACATTCATAAATATTAGCCTAATCCTATGTCATTAAAGATGGGGTCTAGTTTTGACCTAATGATTCCATTAAATGCATTCTTGTATTTCCCTAAATCACAACAGTAGCCATCGCAGAGGACTTAACAAAACCGCTGAAATTGCTAACACAGATCAGAGAATCAAACCGTTCAAACACAAAAAATATGGAACACATAGGTTTTGTTCCATAGGGGACAGTTGACCAATGACCAGGAATGTTGATAAATGTTGTAGAATGTAGAGTGTCCTGGATCATCACCACAGTCCTTCTTGTTAGACACCAACAATCTAAAAGACCCTCGTGCATCTGCATGTAAAAACTTTCAGATGCAAGGCTTATATAAACCAAGCAACTAAAACAACGTATTTCCACTTGTGGAACAACGCTAAAACCAGGAATATCCTTCCTAAAAGTGACGCTGAAAAACTGATCCACGCTTTTTTTACCTTAGCGTACCCTAAAACCCCGCTCCCATCTCTGTGTGGAGTGAGAGGACAAATGCCCAAAAATTAACAATTGTAAACCGCTTTGTGACTCTGGTCTATGAAAGGCGGCATATAAATAAAGATTACTTACTTACTAAAACCTCTTTGAAGAGCTTCCAGCTCGTTCAGAATACAGCAGCAAGGATCTTAACTGGCACCAAAAGGAGGGAGCATATAACTCCAGTGTTAAAGTCACTCCACTGGCTTCCCGTGGAGTACCTTATGAAGTTAAAAATTCTTCTTCTAACATACAAAGCCATAAATGCCTTGGCTCCTTTATATCTTCAAGACATGTTAGTGTCATATCTGTCACGTGTGTGAAATTAAATGAGACCCAAAATGCAAACCTGCAACAAATAATGGATTTAATAAAAAGCAAACACCAAAACTTCCAAAAACACAGGGAACGAGGACCGAACTAAAACAGACGAGGAATGACAATGATGGAACAGGGAGTGAAAGAACACACAGGGCTAAATACAAGACTAACGAGACACAGGTGAGACACATGAGGGCAAGGCTGGAGGGCAGGGCAGGTAATCACACAGGAAGAGCAACCAAAGCAGACACAGGGATATAACAAACTACAAAATAAAACAGGAAATGAATCTAAACCATGACAATATCAACCAAACCGAACACTGTGCTCCTAATTTTTATTTTTGCAATTCCTTTGTTTGAACTGTTTGATTCTCTGATCTTTTGTTGAGAAACGACTTGTGACGTGTGTTGTGATCATAAACTTGAATTATTGTTGTGATACAGGTCTATTCACAAGTAAATGGAATTAAATTACTTACTTAATTGAATTTACTGCAATAACGTAAATTTGCAGACATGAAGTAGACTCTGACTCTGAATTGCATCGACTTTCTCAAAGTGTTTTGTTTAATCAGATACAGGCCATGAACACCACGAGAGCTGCGTCTTTTGTGGGAAACGCTGATGGAGCGAATGCACCTGCAGCTGCAGAGTTGCCCGCAGGTGGCGCTGTGTGTGTGCGTTATGGATCAATGGGTCAGAGCCACAGCGGACACAGAGGAGCCGCGGTTTTCACAGTAAAACAACAAACGCCAGGAATCTACTGGCATACATTGCTGTAAAAATAGTTACTTTTAAGGCAAATTGAAAAAATAATCAAAAGGGTTTTTGCATCCAAAGGCAAAGAGAGTGTATTAAGCACAGCTCACACACAAGGCAATCCTTCAGTTGAAACTGTTTTCAACTGAATTGGAACATTGAAGAAGTCTGTCCCACATTTTCATATTTTAGGCTTCCTTCCCATGTTCTGGGACCAGCAGGAGGCCAGTCCCTGCGCTTCAAAGTCCCAAGAAATTTGATATTTACAGTCTATGGTCCCAAGACAGACCCAGCGTCTTTGTTTTGTTATTGTTGTTTTTTGTTAATATTCTGTTGCCATGGAGACGTCGCTAACTATGCTAATGATAGATGCATGCTAGCTAAGACCGTCAAGTTAAAACTGTATACAGCTAATATTTTACTAAACCAGACTAAACAAGATCATTTTACTTAGAAATAAGTACGTTTGTGTTTGGTTTTATTGTTGAAGAGTTTGGCGGAAGTGGTGAAGCCAACAAGCTAACTACTGTGGCTTTACACCGGTCCGTGCAGCAGTTGTCAGTGCAAAGAATCCAGAGCGGACACTGGGACCAAACCTGGACCCAACCAGGACTAAGCCGAGATTTAACCAGGTCTAAACAGGGCTACAGCAGGACCAACCCATCCAGGACCAGGGCACATCATGCACCCAGCCCGGGGCATCCACGCAGGGAGCGGGCAGAGGAGCGGAGACTGATCGAGGACCTCCACAAACATAGCGGCTAGAGCTGCAGAGACTGGCCGAGGAGGGAGTCCAGTCCCCGGGGACACGCTCAGACTCTTCCCCGCTCCCAAGTACATGTTTCCCGGTAAGACACAGCACCTTCGTATGGAGCGGTATACTAAAGCCAGTGTTCTGACAGTGCCATGTGCTTCCATTATATTTGTCAACTAGCTAGCTAAAATTATAATAGGATTGAGAAGTGGGCGATGTAGCCAAAACATAATGCTGAAACAACAATTTTGCTTGAGTAATCTTAATAACAGTATTTAAACTATAATACGTTAGTAATTTTTTGTTAAAATAAAATATCCCGGTAAATATTTCAAGATTTACAGGAAAAACTAAAGAATACTGGAAAACTACCCACTAGATAAACATATTGTATTTGATAGATTTTGTGTGACTCAAAATATGAAAATATCTAATCACTAATTAAAATAATATATATTGGTCCGGCTATTAATATAATGATAACCCTATTAGTAGGCGTAATAATAAATACCTTAAGAGAAGACTTTAAAAAGTCATTTCTAATAACTTAGGTGGGTCTGAACTCAACATTATGTCTTCATCTTATTAGAAAACAGTAAAACGTAAAGCTGTCTGAGTGTGTTTTGAGAGCGAGGGAGTTATTAGATGGATTTCATTATATAGTTTGTTTTTGTGGTTTGAAAGTTAGGTACCCCAGATTTACACACGGTGATTCATGAGGCTATAGGACCTTTAACTGGACCAGGACTGTTTCTGTTTCAAAAGCAAACTGCCTGAAGTGTAGTGGACACATGTTCATGTGTTTGACGGTTTCTACATCCACAAATAAAAGTAGTTTAGCCCCAATTGAACCAGAAAGTGTTATATCTAATAATTTCACTGTGTATCTGCAGAAATAGTTATGACAGAAAGAAACATACACAAAACGAGAGTTACGACTGTAACTACGGTTCTATGAATCCTGGATGACCGCCAGAGGCGGTGCTTAAGCACTGGATGATCATCCTCGTGCATGCACAGATCGAGAGTCAAATAACAACAAAGTCACCCGTGACCTCCGGTAGCTCACGCGAGAGTCTATAAAGCCACGTGACACCGGAAGCACAGTCCCTAGAACCTTTCTTGCACAAGGATTCCGAGGGACCGGGCGCTCTGGCGGTCATCCAGGATTCATAGAACCGTAGTTACAGTCGTAACTCTCGTTCTATTTCATCCTTCCTGACCGCCAGAGGCGGTGCTTAAGCACTGGATGACGAATATCAGCAAGGTCACGAGGAAACCAACCAGAACCTCACCTTACTGTGAAACGGATGAGCGGCGCCGCAGAACCCCCTGCAGGGGGTGCGGGGCGGCAACATTAACCCGATAAAACCTGGCGAAGGTGCTTGGGGACGACCATGACGCCGCCGCACAGATGACGTCCAACGACACACCACTCACAGCAGCCCACGAAGTTGACATGCCCCTCGTAGAATGGCACCTCACCCCAGGCGGTAACGGCAGCCCCCGCAAGGCATAGGCCTCTGTCACAACCCCCACGACCCAGTGGGAGAGACGCTGCTTGGACAGAGCCCGACCAACGCGAGGGCCGGCGCAGCAGACAAACAGGGCGTCTGAACGCCTTATCGAGGCCGTGGAGCGAATGTACACCTCCAGTGCACGAACAGGGCACAGAGGGTCAGGGGGCTCACCAGAACCAAAACGGGCCAACTGAAGGGGCCCGTCATACCGACCAGAAGACACCTTCGGGACAAAGGACACATCCGGCCACATAGACACACCCGAGCCGTCAGGATGCCAACGACAACAGGCCTCGGTCACCGACAGAGCATGGAGTTCACTCACCCGCCGTCCGGAGGCCATAGCCAGGAGAAACGCTGTCTTCATAGACAGCCACTTGAGGGCAATCTCCCCCAAAGGCTCAAATGGCGGGGAACGCAGGGCATCAAGGACAACCGAGAGGTCCCAAGCCGGCACCACAGGACGACAGGGCGGGTGCAACCGGCGGGCACCTTTCAAAAACAGTGAAACGTCAGTAACACGACCGACACTAGTCCCACCAAACCCAGCGTGCCCACACGAAATCGCAGCAACGTATACCTTCAGGGTGGACGGAGAACGGCCTTTACTGAGCAGTTCTTGAAGGAAGGTCAGTATGGACGTCACCGAGCAGAGACGCGGGTCGAGTCCCCTGCCACGACACCACCCGTCGAACACGTTCCACTTACAGGAATACAGCCGGCGTGTGGACAGAGCCCGGGCATTGCACATGGTGCGGCCAACCTCCCCAGTATAGGCTGTAAACGCTAAACCGGTCCCCGGAGGTCCCACACCCAAAGCCGCAGGCGGCCGGGGTCCGGATGGAGAAGCCGGCCCCCCAGTTGAGACAGGAGATCCCGCCTGGAGGGAAGGGGTCTCGCCAAGCCGCAACAGAGCCTGAGCAGCAAGGGAAACCATGTCCTCCCCGGCCAATACGGGGCCACCAGTATCATCCTGTGGCCCTCCTGAAGGACCCGGAGCAGCGTCTGATGGATCAGAGGGAACGGCGGGAACGCGTACAGCAGAACCCTGGGCCAGTCGTGAGCCAGCGCGTCTTGACCCAGGGGACCGGTGGACTCCAACAGGGAGAACCACAGCGGGCAATGAGTCGTTCCCTGAGAGGCAAAGAGATCCACCCTCGCCCGGCCGAACAACCCCCAAATGGAGACCACTACCTCCGGGTGTAGCCGCCACTCGCCCGGCAGCGAAACGTGGCGCGACAGGAAATCCGCCGACACATTCAGAGTCCCTGGGATGTGCATCGCGGTCAAACCCGCAAGACGGGGATAGGCCCAAGTCAACAGCCCTCGTGCCACTGCCAGCAAGCACTCCGACCGAGTTCCCCCCTGGTGGTTGATGAAATAGACCACACTGGTGTTGTCCGACCGCACCAACACATGCCGCCCCCGCAAGACCGGCAGGAAATGGCGCAGCGCAAGCTGAACGGCCAGGAGCTCCAGAACGTTGTAATCAGTTTTCTCAGTGTCATTGGTGCAAGTATTGCACATAATTCTATCATCAATTTAACAACAGTTAGTTCATTTCTCATGAACAAATGAGTGGCCAACTGCAAAACGCATCATGGATAACCGCTAAAAAGTCACTGCTACTTCCTCAAAATGAACCTTATATTCCTCAAAAGAAAGTCCTTCATGTCCATGAACGGAATCCTCTGTGTCTCAATGTAAGAATGCCCTGACCTCTAGGGGGTTATGAACAACAGTCCAATGAGTTAGTCATATTTCATTGTGACTTGTAATGAGTGGATCTATCCGATGTAAGTACTGTATTTTCACATATTATACTTGCTTATGCTCCGTTGCAATTCTACATCATTCATGCAAACAAAAATAGTGACACATACAGTATTTACGTAGATAAACATACAAAAACCGCAGGACGGTAGAACCATCCCACATCATTGAGTCGTGTGGGACAACAACGCGGCAGTTTTCTCCTTTGAACACTTTCCAAATGTCATATTGGGACAAGTATCAGTTACTTTCTACATGATCTCAGCTGTTTTATAACATTAGACATTTGGCTTCTGTCCAGTCAATCAGAATAACCATACTTTTCACGACTGAATAGTTACCTGTAAAACAGAAGCCTCATTTCAACGCTTTGGCGTCATCACATACAAAACTTAAGGTGAACAATTTTTGATGTCGTTTTTAGACCGTTCACGCCGAGCTCTCTCTCACTCTCTCTGCTCACATGCCTCTCTCCCACTGCCGCGTCTCTCTCCTTTCTGCTCCACGTATCTCACTCCTCTCTGCTCCGCGGTCTCTCTCTGCTCACGTCTCTCTCATTCTGCTCACCCTCTCTCTCCTGCTCACGTCTCTCTCTGCTCCCGAACCGATCTCTCTCTGCTCCACTCTCTCTCATGCTCACCCTCCTCTCTTCTCTCTCTGCTCACCTCATCTCTCCTCTCTACTATAGAATATATCTACTGGATCCGTCGCTCTCTTTCAGCTCACGTCATCCTCTAGCTGATCGCGTACTCTGGCGGAGCGTCTCTCTCTCTCTGCTTCGCGTCTCTCTCAGCACACTCTCTCTCTCTTGCTCACTTCCACTCACTCTCAGCTCAACTCTCTCTCATCTCTCTGCTCACGTCTCTCTCTGCTCGCGTCATCTCTCTCTCTGCTCTCTCTCCTCTCTCTCTGCTCTGCGAACTCTCTCCTTCTTCTGCACGCCTCTCTCTCTCTCTGCTCACGTCTCTCTCTGCTCTCTCTCTCGCGTCTCTCTCTCTCTGCTCGCGTCTCTCTCCTCTCTCTGCTCACGTCTCTCTCTGCTCACGTCTCTCTCTCTCTCTCTGCTCACGTCTCTCTCTCTCTGCTCCGTCTCTCTCTGCTCGCGTCTCTCTCTCTCTGCTCACCTCTCTCTCTCTCGTCTCTCTGCTCGCGTCTCTCTCTCTGCTCCACGTCTCTCTCTCTCTGCTCACGTCTCTCTCTCTCTCTGCTCGCGTCTCTCTCTCTCTGCTCTCTCTCTCTGCTCGCTCTCTCTCTGCTCACGTCTCTCTGCTCACCTCTCTCCTCTCTCTCTTCTGCTCCCTCTCTGCTCGCTCTCTCTCTCTCTGCTCACGTCTCTCTGCTCACTCTCTCTCTGCTCTCTCTCTCTCTCTCTCTGCTCACGCTCTCTCTGCTCGCGTCTCTCTCTGTGCTCACTCTCTCTCTCTGCTCTCTCTCTCTGCTCACGTCTCTCTCTTCTCTGCTCACGTCTCTCTCTCTCCTCTGCCGCGTCTCCTCTCTCTGCTCACTCTCTCTCTGCTCACGTCTCTCTCTCTCTGCTCACGTCTCTCTCTCTCTGCTCACGTCTCTCCTGCTTCGCACGTCTCTCTCTCTCTGCTCGCGTCTCTCTCTCTCTGCTCACAGCTCTCTCTCCTCTGCTCACAGTCTCTCTCTCTCTGCTCGCGTCTCCTCTCTGCTCGACTCTCGCCTCTGCTCATGCTCTCTCTCTCTGCCTCTCGTCTCTCTCTCTCTGCTCACGTCTCTCTCTCTCTGCTCACTCTCTCTCTGGCTCCGCGTCTCTCTCTCTCTCAGCTCACTCTCTCAT